ATAAAAGAATTATGGGTTTTGTACCTCAAGATGATATTGTACATGGGAACTTGACAGTGGAAGAGAATCTATGGTGCAGTGCAAACTGCAGGTATTTCAACCTTTCCTCTTTGCTTTATCTTCTAACTCTTTCGACCATTTCAAGTTCATACTGACGTAACATGAAACCTATTAGTCCGAAAGCACCGTGGAGAGTAACAGAAGTCCACAGACCACCTAATTGATACCAACGAGTAAAATTTCCTTGTGCTTCAGGACCCCATTGTAACAACAAAGAGTGTGCTAAACTATTAGCAAGAGTCGAAACTGCAGCGGTGTGAAGGCGTCTCCATAGAATTGACTTTAGGATGAATTATGACTTTCTGGATTTCATCACTAATTTCCTTTGTTCTTCTCTAAGTAGTTTATCATTACTGTCTGAAAGCTTTTTGATAATGGACTGCCTATTGTCAGGCTTTCTGTGGAGTTATCCAAAGCAGATAAGGTTCTAATTGTTGAAAGAGTTATCGAGTTCTTGGGGCTCCAGACCGTGAGAAACTCCTTAGTCGGGACAGTGGAAAAGCGAGGAATCTCTGGAGGACAAAGGAAGAGGGTGAATGTCGGGTTAGAAATGGTGATAGAGCCTTCGATTTTGCTGTTAGATGAGCCAACATCTGGTTTGGACAGTTCTTCTTCCCAACTGCTTCTTAGAGCACTCAGGAGAGAAGCTCTTGAAGGTGTGACCATCTCCATGGTGGTTCATCAACCAAGGTAACTTTTCCAAACCTGTTCTTCCACTGTCTTTATAGCCAGCATCCCTGATTGATAATGTCCCTTGTTTACTAATTTGCGAATCTCCACTTCAGCTACACCTTATACAAAATGTTCGACGATTTGGTTCTTCTTGCAAAAGGTGGTTTTACTGTTTATCATGGACCAGCAAGGAGAGTTGAAGAATACTTTGCTGGCCTTGGAATCCATGTCCCGGAGCGTGTTAACCCTCCAGATCACTTCATTGATATTTTAGAGGGTATAGTGACACCAAATGCAGATATTAGCTATGAAGAGCTTCCTGTTAGATGGTTGCTTCATAATGGTTACCCAGTACCAGCAGATTTGCAGCAGATCTCAGCCAGACACAGTACAAGCATGGCAGACGTGGAGCGAACTAATGGAACGAGCAACCGTGTTCTTGTCGAGCCACAACCTTCTTTGGCTGGGGAGTTATGGCAGGGCATGAGAAGTAAAGTTGAGGAACATCATGACAAGTTAAGAATGCTTTTGAAGACCAAAGATTTGTCCCATAGAAGAACTCCAGGCATACTTAAGCAGTACAAATACTTTCTTGGGAGGTACATCATATTAATAGAAACCTTCAATAACAATGATCTTACGACGTGTGTAAAGCATTAATAGCTGATATATGTCTCTTCATAACCATGAATTTCAGAATCGGTAAGCAGAGATTACGGGACTCAAGAATACAAGTTATAGATTATTTGACCTTACTTCTTGCTGGTGCCTGCCTTGGACCGATTTCTGATTTGAGCGACCAGTCATTTGGTGTTTATGGTTATCCTTTCACCATTATTGCAGTTTGTAAGTTACCAATTCTTTGCGAACATATATGCTTAACGAGACCTTTGCCCGTTGTTTTCACGCAATATGTTCTCTTTTATCAGGGCCTAAATACATAATAACTGACCATGACCATGATTGTATCAGCTCTTCTAGGAAAAATTGCGGCTTTGAGAACATTTTCTTTGGATAAGTTGGAGTACTGGAGAGAGAGTTCTTCGGGCATGAGCAGTTTGGCTTATTTTCTCGCAAAGGACACGGTTGACCATTTTAATACAGTGATAAAGCCGCTGGTGTATCTATCTATGTTCTATTCCTTCGCAAACCCGAGATCTTCCTTTACAGATCATTATGTTGTTTTACTCTGCCTTCTGTACTGTGTCACGGGCATGGCTTATTCTTTGGCTATCCTCCTTCAGCCTGGTGCAGCCCAACTGGTGAGTGAAAGCAGTGCATAAAGAAGTTCTTAGCAAGCTTGGTGATTTGCCTCACTGACTAAATCTACTGTTCTATGCAGTGGTCAGCCATTTTTCCTGTTGTCTTAACCCTCTTTATAACAAGGCCTCAAACTAGTTCAGCAATGAAGACTCTGTCTAATCTTTGTTACCCCAAATGGGCTTTGGAAGCATTAGTGACTGCAAATGCGGAAAGGTATGTCTTGAAGTTTCCCTCGTTCATAATCATGTCCACTCTTGAGTTTGATAATTCAAATCCCCACATGAGCTTGTAACAGTCCAAGCCCACCGCTAGTAGATATTGTCCGCTTTGGCTATTACATATCGTCGTCTGTCTCACGGTTTTAGAATGCATCTACTAGGGAGAGGTTTCTACACCATTATAAGGAATGTTTCGTTCCCCTTTCCAACCAAAGTGAGATCTCACAATGGAGAATGAAACATTTCTTAAAAGGGTGTGGAAACCTCTCCCGGGTAGACATGTTTTAAAACCTTGAAGGGAAGCACAAAAGTGAAAGCCCAAAGGGACAATATATGTCTACTAGCGGTAGGCTTTGGCTGTTATGTATTGCCGTCAACCTCACAATTTTATAATGCATCTATTAGGGAGAGGTTTCCACACCATTATAAGGAATGCTTCGTTCTCCTTTCCAACCAATGTGAGATCTCACAATGGAGAACAAAACATTCTTTATAAGGGTGTGGAACTCTCCCTGGTAGATCGTTTTAAAACCTTGAGGGAAGCTCAGAAGGGAAAATCCAAAGAAGACAATATCTGCTAGCGATAGGCTTATGCTGTTACAAAGCTAGCCTACTGCAAAACTTTGCCTCTCTCCCAAGGGAGAATTATTGAGTTTGTTAGCTAAAGTGTTATAAACTTTCTAAGCTAACTGGCTCTGTTCTACAGGTACGACGGAGTGTGGCTGATAACTCGCTGTGGAGTTCTAAATGGGAGTGGATTTGACATTCATGACTGGGGCCAATGCCTACTCCTCCTAATGGTCACAGGTGTGATTTTCCGGATACTTTCATATGTTTGTTTGTTGATCGTTCGAAGAAAGTGATGCCTTGACCGCGAGACTCAGTCCCCTCTGCCATTTTCTTCAAGTAGTAAGCAACCTAGAGCAACAATACTCCATTTTCAGGCACCTTTCATTATGGACTTCCCCATCACACGAAGATCCAGTTCAGAAATTGCATATATTTGATATTAGATCCTTGCTCTCTTACTTAGCAATGTTGCCTCTTCAGCTTGATTCATTGTACTCTTATGGTGAAAGTTAAAGCAGGTGAAGCCAAACCCAGCTTTCTCTGTATCTAACTGCATTAATTCCTCCATCAAGCTTCAATTAATTCCTCTATTTTCGTATGGCCCTAAAATACTATTTCTAGTTTAAAAAGAATGTACTTAGAAATGCTATCCTAACCAGCCACTGCCTAAAAACGTAAAAACGCGATTGCTTAACCAAAATGAATCCATACCTGGGTGGTCGACACAACCACCAGAAGCCTGAGTTCTTACTACTTCCTCAAAAGCAAATGCACGATCTCCTGAAATGGAAAGAAAATTCATGCTATGCAACTCATGATCTTCAACATGCCAATGTAAACCATCGGAGAAGTAACGATCGGAATGTCATCAGGCATATAACGCGTAAGTGATCCAGGAGATCCCGCAATTACTTGCAAGTTCCAAGGGCTATTTGAAAGCCTCCAACCTGCCGTCCCTTCCATGTTAATACCAGAATCTGAACTCTTTCCTCTCGAGTTGGGTGAGACATCGTCTGAGGAAGCCGAAGATGGCTTCAACATCTCTGGACTTGTATTCAGATCATTCCTGGTGGAAATGTCGCCACTATCCCGACAGAAATCTGTCAGTGCCGCCATAAATTGAGAAAGAAAACAAAAGTCGCTGCTCGTAAATCGATTATGGACACCGACAACATGGCAAGCGGATTGAAACCCTAAATTTGAGAAGTACAGAACGATTTGTAGTGCATCTTTGATGTAATTACCGCGCGTTATACACAGAGGACCATGAAATTTGAGTAGAAAAGGAAAATATCTTGCAAATTGAACGTCATAAACAAGCAACGGCACCTGTAACTGAAAGATGACCTTCAAAAGGAAACCCCGAGCAAAGAGAAAGAACGCGCGAAGAGAGCTCACGGACAGAAACGCCATGCTTTATTGTGCGCATGATAGCAATATATAAGACTGATGGCTAAAATACACTGTCTTAGTGTCACAGTTGAAATTTATGGTGACACAGAGTATTTTAGTGATTGAATTATGGGATTAAACTTGAAAGTTCCAACTTTTAAAAAAAAAAAATCATATACTTGCAAGTGGAGAACTCATTGGAATGTATATTTTTACATGGAAGATTCATATTCGGGTTATTCTCTTATAGCATTATGAAAATTGGAGTTAATCTTCTCTTATAGCATTATGAAAATTGGAGTTATAGGGATTAACGTTGATGGATGAAATGGATAACAGTCACAAAGTAAATATGAATGACAATAATCTAACACATTTGTGATGAACGATGGATCCTTCTATCAATGCAAATAGACGCAAACAAAACTTTAGAGTAGTAAAATCTAACTTCCACTCGAATTTTAGGTCACATGACACTAAATAGGTTAATAAAATTATAATACAAACATGCTAGCTTCTTATTAAAAATCGAGACTTCTTATTTTTTTTTATAATCTATAAAATATTTAGATATGCTTTTTCCCATGTCAATATTTATAAATAATCATTGATTGAAATTATATTATTAAAAATATTACAAAATTATATCTATGTAACTCGCTTTTTATCTCAGAGCCCATAGGTAGCCTACAAAACAAAAGCTTAAACTTGAAGGTACTTTTTCTCTATCTACTCTTATAAATAACAAACATACCATGAATAGAGAGCTAAAATTCTACATCTTATCAGTTTAAAAATGCATCCAAGTTCCAATTTTGTGTAATGTGACAACAGAGCATCCCTGGAGATAGAATTATTAACTCAGATTATAACTTCAGTACTAAAGATTCGCATGTGTTTAATAGAATGGTTCGGGTTCAGAGTTGCTCAAATGAAAATTTTCATCCGTGAGGATGAGAAGAAAAACTCGAAATTCGACATTCAAAAGAGAATCGGATGAATTTAGGAGTAAATATGAAGGCTTTTCATAAGACAGTACCAGATTGAATGGATGGATGGATGGATGGATGAAAATTGCTGCTAGTTTTATCACGGAAGGGAAGGATGTGATATCCTGCTCTGCGCCAAAGCTGTCTAATTGTAATCGGGTTTTTCTGGGTATGTGCAGCCTGACCTTTGGATTATCACATTTGATGCGTAGCAACCGGCTTTGACACAGTCTTCAATGGGCTTTTCTTGAACCAGTTGAGATAAGAATCCCCCAACAAATGCATCTCCTGTTGCAAGAACGCCAATCACAAAGAGAACGAGAAGATGAGTGATGAGTTACATTATTGTGTTGTAAGGAAAGTGAAAGTTTCATTGTCCTTATTGCATGTTTTGAACTAAAGATGATCTAGCAAGGTGCGTCAATGAAAAGTTCATCTGGTTTGCGACATCTAAATATCCATTGAGATCTAATGCATGATATGAGATTGTAGCAAGGAACCATTAAACGAACTATAAACCAACTAAGTACGGAGGAAATGGTAACGACTCAAGCCCACCGCTAGCAAATATTGTTCTCTTTGGGCTTCCCCTCAAGGATTTTAAAATGTGTATGCTAGAGAGAGATTTCCACACCCTTATAAAGAATGCTTCGTTTTCCTCCTCAATCGATGTGAGATCTCACAATCCACCCCCCTTCGGGGCCCAGCGTCCTTGCTAGCACACTGCCTCGTGTCCACCCTCCTTTAAGGCTCAGCCTCCTCGCTGGCACATTGTCACCCGATGTCTGGCTCTAATACCAACTGTAACGACTCAAGCCCACTGCTAGCAGATATTGTCCTCTTTGGACTTTCCCTTCAAGGCTTTCCCTCAAGATTTTTAAAACGCGTCTGCCAGGGAGAGGTTTCCACACCCTTATAAAGAATGCTCCGTTCTCCTCCCCCATCGACGTGGGATCTCACAAAAAATAAGCCAGCTTGTGCCCTCACAGTATAAGTAAAGTCTATTGTTCATTGTCCACGGTTTTACTCCATGGTTTTACAACCTTCATAAGATATGATAAATGGGGGGTGCAAAAGTATTTCAATAAAATAGTTCACGCAAATTCCCTAAGAAGAGTATATGTTGACTCAGTCTTTCCATGCATTTGCCAATTAAAGTTGGATAGAGAGACCATATACCTGCCCCATTGGTGTCAACCAACTTCTCCTTGGGCAACAAAATAACAGGGAATAGTTTTGTCTTCCCATCTTCAGCAACCACCACAGGATCGGCACCTTGAGTGATGACGGTGATCCTCTTTCGTGTTCCCGATGCCTTTGGCCACTGGGAAATCTTTATGGCAATCTCCTCGACATTGTCAGTCTAATCAGAAAAGACAAATTTAGTAATCTGTGGGAGAGCTGCAGTTCAGTTTTTGCATTTGAGAGCCCAAAAGAACGTTATGAAAATTACCTCCCACCCATGAACTTTTGAGAAGGTTCTTGCTTCTGTCTCATTCCCAAAAACATAATCCACGTACCTGTATTAAAAATCAACCCAATTGTCCATAACAACAATCGTGACCAAGGAAGAGCTCTTAACCAAAACCATTATAATGAAAGAAGTTCTGCATCCATTGCATAAAAGATGAAAAATAAAAGTGCACAAAACTTACGGCAGAGCTTTCTCCTGCACCTCTCTGAAGAATTCACAAATGAAGGGAGCAGAAAGATTCATGCAGAAGACCTGCAGAAGCATGCAAATTTTTCTAAAGTGCTGAAACTAGAATTCGAAGGAATAAAATGTGTATCACATCAGTGTGGAAATGTCACCTTGTTGTTTGCAGCGGCATGAGCAGCAACAAGTTGAATGGACTCAGGGGACACCGTCAAGAAAAATCCAGCAATATAGTAATATTTTGCCTGCTCCACTGTTCGAAAGTAAATTTGCATTGAGGTCAGAAATTTTATAGCATATGGCCACTAAATACACAGTAAATGAAAAAGTACAAAAGTAGAGGAGAAATGAGTACCGAGTGCCCAGTTTTCAGGTCGCTTCAAGTGCTCAGTTTTGTAACAGTTCGCAGCTGACAAGTTAGCAACAAGTGACCTGCAAATTGTCAATTTAAGTTACACTTGACTTGATATGAAATATGGACTCTTTCCACAACACACACCCATTGAGGTCACTCCTTTCCACTACCTATAGATGGATGTTGATTGTGAAACCAAGTGACTAACCTCGTCTCCTCCCAACTCTATATATACATATATATATGGATGTTGATTGCGAAACCAAGGGACTTACCTCATCTCCTCCCAACTTTATATATACATATACATTCATAGTTTTTGATGTATGCAAGTATAAAATAAATGTTATCTGGTTGGAGGTGAAGGAAGATACGATTTTAAGTACCATATTAACAATGAAGCATAAAGAGGAGTTTATCACCTAGTTTTCAACCAAATAAATTTAAATGAACTTCAAAAAAGTAGAAAAAAACTTTTACTACATTGTTTACAAGAGTCTAGTCACATGTAAACATTTTTATAAAAATGAAAAAAATGTGTGTGCATAGTATGAACACAAAGATTGATTTTTGAAAAGTAGATACAATCACATTAAGGAAAAAATGAAAAAAATGTGTGTGCATAGTATGAACACAAAGATTGGTTTTTGAAAAGTAGATACAATCACATTAAGGAAATTGAACAATAAGCAAGATGTAAACAGATATTGCCTACCTCTCACCACCTCCGACACAGACAGCACATGTACCGGTGGGAGTAGTTTCATCCTCGTAATATTGAACCTGAATACATTTGATTTAAAATTAATCAAGACTTTTGTAGTTGATAATTTGAAACCATTAGGAGGTTGTGGAAAACATGCCCAGACTTACATTGACACCAGCAAGCCTTGAGTTTTTCTTCATTTCCTCTCCAAATTTGTCCTTTCCAATGGAGCCAATATAACTAGTAGCACCAGGAATTTGAAGCATCCACTGAAAATATCGAGAAAATATCAATAGGTTCATAGGAGAAATGAAACTTGATTTCATAAAACTGCATTCAGGGTAAAAAAGTCACTGATGAAGCTGCTACCAACCTGAGCAACTTTAATGGAATTTTGAGTGGCGCCTTCATGTAAGAAAAATAATGTCAAAAACACAGATCATCAAGTTACACAAACGATCAAGTAAGAAGAGATAATTATTTAAAAGCACTAGAAAAAGAAAATCAAAATACCTCCAGCAATATATTCCACATTGTCTTTAGCAGCCAGTTCCTCGTACCTATACAAATTCACAAGTAAACGTTGTAACATTAGGATTTAAACGAGAAACAAAGTACAGAACGCATGAGATAGGAAGCAATCGATCAACATCCCTACAAAGCAAATAAATAAGCTCACCACTGAATACAAATTCATCATGAACTACACAATACAGATCTCCTACTTACAAATTCATTTGCCTGTTTGCTAAAGTAAAAAAATGCAAAATACGTCAAACCATTCAATCTTACTTCCTCCCAGATCCTGATGAACTTGCAAGGAAAAAGCAAAATACAATGATTGAATGGAAATACGAAGAAAGAAACTCACATGGGCAAGTGTTTCTCCTCGGCAAGAATAGCATTGTTCAACTGGATATCATATCTGCCAATAAGAAATATCAAATTGTTAAAGAGCTTCTTCAAACAAAACCAATCTATACATTCATTGAGATCACACACCAAACAACTGCATTTTTTACTCAGTAAATCACAATCGTGCATTAGTCTCTATTTAGAGATTTTCACTTCCCCCAAAACAGACCACGATTAAGGAACCGGAAAAGGCGAGGCATCTAGATCTGGCAATCATTCATCTCGCACTCCTTGGCAACCAAAGTGTACATACCGAAACAGAAACAAAAAGTGACAGATCTGGCATGTAAAACCTAAACCACCTCGGAAATGCTTAGATTTATACTGTAAACATCTAAATCGCTTGATTTTATGGTGCATACGAGCAAAATAATGGCACGACAGTTCCGAAAAGAAAACAATCGAGAGACGGAAGTGAGCTTACTTTTTCAAGAAATCATCGTCGACAACGGCGGAGATGTCGAGCAGGGGGTTGCCCATTCCCAAAAGGATCTTCTCATACGCCATTGGAGGTAGATTTGGAAGGTGAAGAATGAGAGAAACAAAGGAATGAAAATGGACAGCTTACGAGATATGAAGAGAGACGGCGATGTGTCCGAACTTCTGAAGGTCACTAAGTAGAGAGCCCTTTCGCGCGTCGCCGTCACCTTCCTAAATTCTCTATTTTAGAAATTACAAACTAATTAATTAATTTTAAATTCATAAAATTTTAAAAAATAATATATATTTTTAGACTAAAAATATTATTTTAGTAATTGTAATATTACAAAAATAATCTAAAAAAGGCCGGAAGAAATTGGGCTTATGTACGGCCCAATACTATGAAGCCCTAAGCCCAGTTTTGAAAGCCCAAAATTCCATTTAATTTTCCATTTTTTATTTTCTAACATATTTGCAAATAAATATTTCTATATGATTAATTAAAAATAAATATAATATATTTTAAAAACCGATTAATCATTAATTGAAGAAATCTATGTATTCCCATGAGTCGCCCTCGTGGAGCGAACCAGATCTTCAAAAATTTCGTATCGTTTTTCGTGGACTAGCATCTCGAGATTCTTTAACAAACATAAAAAAATCATCTTGAATATCAGGTATTGAGTTTAGTCGGTGGACGTTTAGATACCTTAGACCTAGTTATCCTTAAACAATACTCGAGATAAGTTATGAAATTCTTAGCTGAATATGCAACGATTATGACTAAATCTCGGTCATTTTACAAGGTCATAATCGTTTTCATGTCTATTAAATAATATTAAAATATTGCAAAATTAAATGAAAACGAGAAAATTCAGATTAAAGTAATTAATTACATTTAATTAGTCAATTGACAACTATCTCTAGCAATTTCAACAAATAATTTAAATATAATTAAGTTATATTCAATTATTCAAGACAATGACATTTTTTATTTATATAAAATCTTAAGAAATAAGAAATCTAATTTAAATAATTTATGTCATTTATGTCATTTCATTGACAAAATCAAATTTTTATGACTAAAAAATTAGCTAAAGATAGAATAAAATCTATCTTTTTTTTTTTACCCTAATTTTTAATTTTTGAATATAACATGACACGTGTATTATATCAAAATAGATATAGCTCATACCGCTCTGTACTTAACCTTTACGTACGTTTTGTTGTTCACACACTATTGGAAAACGAGATTCAAAAATTTAAATAACTTAAAATACGAGCAGCTTAACTATATAGCAAAAGAAGTTAAACTCGAGCTTATAAACTTAATAAAATAAAAGAGACGAAAGTCATCAATAAAAAAACGAACACGGTTAAAAATAATAAGATTAATATTTTTTAACGATAAAGAAAAAAAAAGTTTGTATTTTTATTTTTAATATAAGATTAGAAATATGACTTAAAAAATGTTGTTTAAGCTCTTTATTTATTATAATAAATCTTAATTATTTTAAAATAATAATGAAAAATATTCTTGCTTTTGCTTTTTTTTTTTTTTTGGGTTCTCTGTGTTTTTTTATTATTATTATTTTAATTGTAAATCACATTTAAAATTAATTAAAAAGCATAAACTTTTTTTTAATTATTCCCGGAATATATTAACATTTTTTTCTTTGGAAAAAGCTTAATTAAGCCTTAGCTTTTATGAAATTATTCGGAAAAAAATATGTTAATTTTTGTTAGCTTTGCTAATCGGGTTGACTGTTGAAAGTACTGTGCTCAACGAGTTATTTAGCTTTCAATTTTATGTTCAATTAATTTTTACTGTTAGTTCTTTTAAACTTCATACAAGTATTTATATGTCACACGTTGTCTATACAACGTAAATAATAGATGATAATGACAATGACAATTGCCACGTGAATGGGTCTATGGAGCTACTAGGAAGAAGTTACGAGAGTTACGAATGACACCCGAGTAGTCATGGGTTAAGAACAATAATTGAATTCCCATAAACCTAATCGAAACGAAAGGGTTCACTTTAATTGCTAAGAGTAGGTAACCCGCTCTCTATTCATTGAATAGGTTTCGGGGCAATTTTTTTGTGAGTGTATTAAGGAAATTGGGAGCGGATTAGGCTCTTGAGGAACAACAAATATCTCGGGTATCTTAAAACTTTCAATTTTGTATTCAATAAATTTAAAAAATTTCAAATTTGTACGAGCAAATTAATTTGCTTTTGAAAAAATTAAAAATTAAATCACACATTAAACATTCTTTAAATTTGATAAATTAAATAGACACGAACTTAGAATATTAAAATTCTAAAAGATAATGAAATGAATTGTAAAGTGATTTATTCCATTTATTTATTTATTTTCGTGACTTAAATGAAAATAAAATTAAATTATTATCCAAAGTTTTAATGGACAAATAATTTTAGTATATAGTATTTTTGGTACATATTACTATAGTCCCTTATTTAAAATGGACCACATCCATTTATTCAATAGTTATTGGACCATTTCTTTACTAGGCTTGTCCCATATTATTAAATTACATATTCTATTAATTAAATTAATTAATATGGTAATTTAAAAAAAAAACATAAAATAATTTATATGCTAAACATTATTGGATATGCACGTTTCATATTTAATTTTAATATATAAATTTAATTTGCATTTTGGTCCCTGATCTATCTAAAATTGAAATTTAATCCTCAAGAAAAAGAAAAAGAAAAAGAAAAAATTTATAATAAGTTTAATTTAACTTAAATTTAAATTTATCTTAAATGAATCCGTAAACCAATTTAATAAATAAAGTTTTTATTTTTATGAATTTAATTGAATTAAAAAAAATCAAGATTTATTATTATTTTTTATTTTTTAGAGCGAAAAAATTATACAATTATTTTGATTATTATAATCCCATCTTATATTTTAAAATTGAAATAAATAAAAATATTTTTAAAATTCAAGGGAATTATTAGAATTTTTAAAATAAATTAATATGTGTTTTGATCATCTGGACCATTAAGTCCCCACCCGAAATGAGAAAAAAAGACCTGTTGTGTGATAAAGACTGGGGGCATTATAGTCATTTCACATTCTGGGAACGTTAGGACGAGGGGAAGCATTCATATAAATTTTGAAGCTAACGTGTTTCTCTGCGTTGCGTTGGCGGTTTCGTGAGGGACATTTCCGCGTCGCGATCTTTATTTTCTTGTTGTTTCTATTTTTATTCTTCAATTCAATCTTTATTTCTTTGTTAAATTCGTTGATTTCTTTCCTTTTGTCGTCACTTATGAATCGGATTCTCCGGTGTTTGCTTACGCGTTCTGGCTCAATCTCTGCTTCTTCTGTATCTGTTATTTGGATTTCGGCTTTTTTCGTCTTCTTTCTCCTGTTTTGCTGCTATTTGGCCAAAACAAGCGAAGGCTCTTCACTCTTTTAGCCTTTTCAACTCTCTTGATTCTCTGTTTGAAGTTTTATGTATGGTGGTTTATTCAGATTTGTGGGAGAGATGGGATTTTTCAATACTTTATTGGGGATTATTGGGTTTGGAATTGGAATTCCTCTTGGACTGTTTATGGGGTTCTTCTTGTTCATCTTTTCGAAGCCGGATAAGGTCAAGGTATAATCCAAATTGATTCTTGTTTATTACTCATTTCTGATTCTTCTACAGAAATTAGCAAATGCATTGTGCGTTCCTCCCCTGTTTTTCATTGCAATTTGGTAGTGCACTCAATGTGTTTGTTAATTTGTCTCTTCGACAAACTTTTTGAGATTTTCAGTTTCAACTTTGTTTCGTTGTATCCAATCAAAGAATATTCTCATGTATTGAATTTGCAATGTCATCCTCATAGGCTCAGCTTTGTTTAATACTTTTTTGGGTCCGAGGATGCAAGAACGCTCTGTTTTTGTTGGGTCATAAATGAATCTTTCTGGCCTTTTTTTTTTCTTCTCGAATGCAGGATCCGATGATAAGGCCAATCTACGAATTGGATTCAGATGCTTTGGAAGAACTTATTCCTGAAATTCCACTGTGGGTTAAGCACCCTGATTTTGATCGGGTTGGAAAATTTTAGTGGTGTTCATTTTGTTGTCTCTGTCTCTCCTGTTTCATAGTTTCTCATATTTGTCTGATAGATTGCATAAATTACACAGGTAGACTGGTTTAACAAGTTCCTTGCAGCCATGTGGCCTTACCTTGATAAGGTTATTTCACACTGTACAACCACATCTCCTTTTAAGTTTTGCTCATGTTGCTTGAGCTTTGACATCAATTTCTTTAATGTACAGGCAATTTGTCCTAGCATAAGAGCCATGACCAAACCAATATTTGCCGAATATATTGGGACGTTTCGAATTCAATCTATCGAGTTCGAGAGTTTAAGTCTTGGAACTCTTCCTCCCAAGCTTTATGGTTAGTCTACTTTGAAGAAGCATCTTTATATCATGTTTAGGAGAAACATTACCATCTGTTGTGGAGTTTGTAGAATATATAGACAAACTTATGTTTTCTGAATCAATTCCCCCTCAACTGTATGGTTTGATAGCATAAAATCACTGAGTTTGTCCTCTATGACGAGAAATGGATGCCTTCAAGGCTGATATTCTGGCCATCGTAGTAAAAAGCCGGTAGAGATATATATGGGAGATAGTCATATATAGTAGGTGGTTATATCTGGTAAAACTATGTATAGTAAGCTAAAACCATATAGGAGTGCTTTGAAGTCTGTATTCTCAGTATTCTTTTATTCTTTTTTACTGTAGCCTAAAGTCATCAATATAAACTTTTAGTCAATATTCCTCCCACTTCTCTCTCTTGTTCTTTGTGTTCATCTTGATCGAGCATGTGCGTTGTTGTGCGATGCTAACAAAAACTCATGTATTTTAATATTTGCGAGCTTCTGGCTGCTTAATTAAGGCACTCGAGTTCAACGCGGAGTATATGTTTTGCGTGATAAGTTGAAACTGCCTAATGTTGTAGGTTTCAAAGTGCATGAGACCGATGAGAACGAACTAGTTATGGAAACTGCAATCAGATGGGCCGGGAATCCCGATGTAGTATTGGTGTTGAGACTCTTTTCATTGCAAATAAGAATTCAGGTCAGGGGATCCAACAGAAAAAAATTGTATCTGAGGAATGTTTATCCTTTTCCTCTCCGAAAGGATTTGACGGTTGATCTTCTTCTCAGTTA